CTGTGTATGTAAAACATGTACTACTGTAGCTGGTCAGCAATGCAATAACGTGCATTAATTTAGCATAGTAATAAACATTATTGACAAATTGTAACTAACATAATTGCTGATAATTATATTCCATTATTTATTAGTGAACAGTCATTAGCGATTTTATAATTTCATTGCATAATTTGGTATTCAATATGCACCTTCTTGTACATTAAACAGCAGCACTTTATAATTTACATTTTGTCCTACAGTACACATGCACTCTGTAAAATTTTGTATCATCCACATAGAGTAGGAAAACTACTGTACTGATTTGAAACTGACCTCTCATGAGATTTAACTATAATAATGTCTATAAATTATTATTATGGCTATCTGATCATAAATATATAATAGGCCCTACTATACAATATATGTGAATGATATGTTATGATAAATCAGTAACACTGAACAGGTTGATCTCCTTCAGAATTTGGTTTGATGTACTCTGCACAGATTGTATTAGGTGTGCTAAGTAGTTAAATGCTATGATTACCTGGTCTTTTTCTGGACATTACAATACGATACTGTACATACTGAATACTAGCTGGGTGTGTACAGTATTAGCCAATCAAACTGCATCATACTGTAGCATACAGATGGCTCTCTGGCTTTGTGTGCTGACAATAAAACCGGATCTATCAAAATAGCATCGCATTCACTATCATCTGGTCTTTAATAATAATTGGTCATTATTAAACTGGACTTCTACAGACCACTTGACCTTTGTACAGAGTGCAAATGAGTATCAGGAACAGTAACCGACTGAACAAACAAATGATATGTGGATTTATTCTACCTTCTAAACTTATTACCATACTAGCAGACTTTCCATTTGCAGCAAATGGGAATAAAATGCTTGAGATTCTAACAAATTCATAAAACAGAATTGCCATGGAAATTTAAAAAAAAACATCTAAACACAGTGACTGCTTTTGTGTTAGCTTTGTCCAAGTTTTTAGTGAGAAATCCTGTGTTGTGATATGTCCAGGCATGCTGGTGATGTCATATTTCGCCAATATCATATGGGCAAATAAATTACATACAGTATTTGTGAATGAAACATCCTGATTTGACAGAGCATTCAGTGGAACAGACGTCTCTACAAGTAATCCCTTACACTAACATGTTTCTCATAGACGATGTAAGAATTTGTCTTGTACTGTAAGCTGTCACTTGGGCAAGTTGGCTGATGTGGCCCAGGTGGATGGGTGCACCAGTAGAAGGGTGGGGATCCAGGACTGCTGAAAAAAAAATAATTTGTAGGGGAGGAAAACAATTATTTGTAATTTTTACAGATAGTAAGGCTAAAAAAGATTAATTTATTCTTCCAAAATTATCACTGTACAGTAGCTTCCAGAGGCTTTGCCTTAACTGTAGACCCCAACAAGGAGTCTGAATGACTCCTGACCACAACCTCTTACGCTCCTGTCAACGGAGATAACAGCAATATTATAATTCTAAAATTATGATGATTATCATTTAAAAAGCCCCAACTCTTGCTTCTTTGTGTGTTGTATGTTTACATATCATATTACTATATACTGTACTACTGTACAAATATATTAAGAAGTCCTAGATATGTCTACTTTTTATTTACAGTATATCAATTGCTTTCTATTCGCATTTAAAACCCAAAGTATTTTGTTATCGATTAGCAATGTCATACAGCAGAGCGCTTCAAACGTGTCAACTTTGATAATCTCAACATATTGATCATAAGTTACAGCTGTGTCTAATTCATCACTTGAGAAAGAACTAGTTAAATTTTTATTAAGGAATAAACCAGGCCTAGAGAAAATATTTTTGTGCCTCCAATCATGAAAATTATCTTGATTTAATGCCGCCAGGACCAAATGTTATTTTTATACATTATTATATAGCGAAATATTTGTACACTTATTGCCTCGGGGCATGCAAAAAATATTAAATTTAATTATACATTAAATTGTGATGTGTAAAAAAAAAAAAAATAAATAAAAAATTCTAAAATGCCAATGGCTCTGACCACCAGTCGCGTGGTCGCACACTTTGAAGAAAAATTACAGTAAACGTAACGTTTAAATTATTTTAAATACATGTATTTATTAATCAAAAAAATATTTTTTTTTATTTATAGCCCATATAGCACATTCAGCTTTTTTACTATAATATTTATTCAAAATTACTGTACATTTAATTTGATATTTTTAAAGTTAATTTTATTGATTTTTTATTTTTTTAAAGTTGATTACTAACTGTAGCAGTGAATAAAAGATGAAACACACATTTTCTATGACTTGCTGTTGGCACTTAATGTATTAATACGATAAAAATTCATAGAATATTAATTGCATAGGTCCAACTATATAGTATTAGAAGGCACATGACAGGTAAACTATTATTTCTATAATGCCCGTTTTAAAGAAATATTAAAGAAAACATTGCTTCTTACAGCATAATGAGGGTCAAAAAACAATTACTATAATTTGTATTAACATTATATTATACTGTATATATATATTTTAAAACACTGAACAGTTAATGTCATTGATACAATCAAAACAAATACTTTTTTTTAGTATGGCAATCCTTGAAAATGTTAATTCATAATTACATGTGATAAATCTGACTGAGACTTATATTCCATGTCATAATTAGGCCAAATCAAAGCATGCCATCACCTTAAAATTCCAAGATGAAGAATTTCTTCAGCAAACCAAATTCCATTCTCTTTTTATTACCCTGTTAACATTGTTTTTAATAATTGTATTACACTTTATAAATATAATTTATTAAATTAAGCCAATGATAAAACCACAATCTTAATAAGATAAAGAAAATTTTAGTTACTGTGTAAAACTAAAAATAAAATGCTTATTGAAAATGATTATGTAAATTTAATAACTTAATTCAAATGGTTTAACTTTTTGATATTGATACAAATTTTAATCAATTAAAATTAGAAGAATAGAAGTCTGAAAGCAAGTATAGTATCTAGGGGGTGTGCCCCTCACTTTATTGAGTCCTCCCACTTCACGTTTGCACCTGCCCATTAGCCCCCTTCCCCCTTTCAATAATCCTGATTGAGACTTAACTATCCCGCACTGAGTGCACTTCTATGCAAGTACTATGATTCTTGTATTCCTTTTAATCAATTAGAATTGTATACAATACCAAATTGTTATTAACACTTTTTAACAATTTATTGTTCACTTTTTTGTGGCATTTTTTTTTAAAGACAATCCTAATGGGGCCAAAAGTGAAAAACCACAAACAACAAACTACTATATGCCTAGAAGCCATTAGGAAAATTCTCAGAAAGGCATACCATAAAACCTCAAATTGAAGCCCTGGGCTTATTTTTTTGCAAACTTTGAATGAGCTTCTTTTCGAGATGGGCTTTTTTTCAAACTAAAGAGGGGGCCTCAATTCAAAATGGGCTTCTTCTTGAGATTAAGCCCATTGGGCTTCTATTCAAGGTTTTACAGTACTTGTTCTAAACAGAATGTTAATACTAGAGACTGCTGTACAGTACTGTAAGTGTAAGCGGTATTAATACCTCCATGGTGTAAGTTATAGCTAAAGTACCTAATTTGTACCAAACTTTAGGTTTACAATAAAACATCCTTCTTCTCACAATTGTTGTAAAAAGGGATGAAATACAGATTTTTAGTGAACTGATTTTATCGTACCAATAAATTGTCTTAGTAATGTATCTTATATTGATTGCTTTTTGTCATTTGTACCTTTCCTGCATTGTGTATGTGCTGTTCAAAATCTTTTTTTCCTTCTTGTTTCCAAATGAACTGAATAAAGCTGAACTGAATATAGGCAAAGCTGTTTAAAATTAGCATCCATCAATCTTATACTAACTACTATATTAATATGTTTATTATTATTGATAACCTATTAATAATTACCTTTACTTTTACAAGAAACAGGTAGACAGAATATTAGCGATCATCTTACAATTTATAAGAAAAACAGAGTCAGTATGAAATAAAACACTAACAAAATAGCAAAATATTATTGCTTGATATATTTGACACTTGAGGTGATCATTAACCTTTCATCACACAATGGATTCAACACCCTCAAATCCACTTAAATCTATAACCACAGGAAACAAAACAGCTTCCTGGCTATATGCTTCAATTGTTTAAATTATTAACAAGTTCAATGAAATAATAATAAAACAATGGTGTAAGAAATATGTTTTTATTATCAGGGTAATTCACAGTTTATTATTATTGTCTGCTTTCACTTTTAATAATAATTTACTGTATGAAATAAAAACATTTTAAAAACAATTATTTAACACACAAGCTTTTGCCAACAGTCTACAGAATGCTGGTTTCACCAGTGTATAACTACTACTATAACATGCTGTTCAACTTTAGAAGTATTGACTGAGCAAGTTGATAATAAAAGGAAGGGTCAAAAATTCCATTTGTATTATAAGATCATCATTGGATCATCAGGTCTTTCATACCACTTATAAATACTGGTCATGGGTCATGTAACTAATCTTTGATAAGACACAACTATTCTACTCTACATGCCAGAGTTTTAGCCTTAATACTTAAACCGTGATCAGGCGCTACGTTAATATAGAAGAGGAGTAGGAATGTGCTTGCTTTGTCAATCAAAAACCTAGGCCTAAGGTTAAGGCCTAGGCCTAGTTAGCCTAGTCCTCCTCTCCTAGCTAGCTAGGCCTAAAAATATTGTCATAGATAGCATACAGTTAATACTTTTTCTTGATGCATGTTATTTGTATCAAACTAAGATTTCGTTTAAGTTGAGAACTACCGAACTAAATCCTCATTTAAAACACACACCAGGCTGTACCGTTTCTACCGATCATGATAATTAACCTTTCTTTGTTCGTTCAGGCCGCTAAATAAGGCGGCCTGAGTGCGGCTTTTGCTGGTGAGGTGAGAGGAAAGAGAGGTAGCTAGGCCTACCAAATACGATGTATTTACACTTACCCCAGGGCATTCTGCTGCCGGTGAATTATCAAGAATATCACATATTACAGGTGGTAAATTAGAATCCAAACCACCCATCAAAGAAAATCCAAATCCACCCGAAATTCCTCGTTTTACTTCGAGGATTTTCTCTGTAGCACACACCTCCATATCCGCCATTCTGGCGATTCCAATAATATAAACAACGATTATTGGTTGAGGGCGCTAAATCGTCTCGGTGATGATGGTAAGGATGATGATGATGCGAAAAATAATGTTTATTTAATTTATAACCTGATAGATAGACCCTATGTCGCTACGACGTTTGATAACAATTTACGAATGTTGCATATTTCTATTTTACGGGATCTGTAGTGTAGTCGGAAAAAAAAGTGAAGCTACATCACCGCAATGTATAGTGTAGTAAAGCGCTTAGGGTACTCATATATCTGAAAGTCTGGGGTGGCGCCAGGATTTTCCCGACGGGGGGTCCTGGGCCCTGACGGGTAGCCGATGGCCCCCGACAACAAAAAAGTGCAAGTGGTCGGGCGTCGCTCAAAATATTCCGAAAGTGGTCCAGGAGGACAAGCCCCCGAATTTCTTGACAATTTAGGGGTTTCCAAGGACTTATTTAATCGATGATCTGATGCGTGCGCCACGTCGTTTTGCGTTTCCTATAATCGCGTCGGCCGACGGCCGACGGCACAATGTAGGCCTTCCTATTAGCCGTCTGCTAGAATGTTGTTTTTGGTGGTGGTGGGTGCTATCGACGTTAACAGTCCTCAATCAATTACATTGACGAAAGCTTAAATAACGTATCAAATAAAACACATTAATCTTCATCATACTTTATTTCGTTAGTCCTGAATAAGGTCACATACAAAATTTTCAAAACTGTTTACCCACCTAAAATAATTTTTGTAATTTCCTATGAAGTATTATAGTCTTACAGGCTTACGGACAAGATGAGTCCAATGAATAGGCCTAACATAATTTGACTTTGAGCATTCATGCTATTTAGCCAATAAAAAACATACCGTACTAAACAAGCCCTAATCATTCAAAGATCTAAATTACTCAGTTGCGACAAGTGGCGTTTCAAATTCTGTATTAGCTGCCCAATCAAGCCAATTAATTTATTATTGACATAGCGAATTTATGATCATAAATTTTTCATGAGTCTATTTACTCTATAGTGGTCAGACCTAATTTGTACAAAGCATGACGTCATGATAGTATACGATAAACGATAAACGATTCACCGACCGTATGTGCGCAACGAAATCTATCCAAGCGTAACATCTACGTCAATCATTGGCTTTAGTTATGGATTTAATGTCGTAAAATGTGACTAGCACAGATCAAATGATTATTAGATAAAAAAGCCAAAATCCATAATAATCTTCCATTTCCCCTAATGGATACTGTTTGGCCTGTTACATGCGTTAAATACATCGTGGGCTAAGATATCTTCGATGAGAGGTCTTTTATATGGGTCCTTGTTTATGCATCTTTCTCCGAGACATTCTAAGCGTGGAATCTTAACCCTCAAACCAATTTCTCTCATAATTAAACCTATTTGGAATATATCTGATGCTGGTGACTCTTTAGTGATGCCGTCAACGAGTTCTGGTGCTATGTGCGTATGATTTTTTCTGAAACGAACTTTATCTTCTTCACTTAACCTATATTCCTGTGGATGATTTAAAGACGATGCCTGTCCTAAGTCGATGATCCTACCAGCCCATCGGCAGTCTGAATAGACAACTAAAATGTTATCACCTTTTAAATCATTGTGCAAGAGTTTGTTCTCGTGCAAAAACTTAAGCCCGCTAACAATATCTATCACAATGTCGAGCCATTGATCCGAGGTCAATCCAGGTTGGCCTGATTTCAGAACTCGCGAAATGGTTCTCGATTCGAGGGACTTGTGGTCGCCAAGGAACAGAGCGACTAGACGCAGTGGGAGTCCTTCATTCACTACGCCCATCAGGAACGGAAACGCATAATGTGCCGACGTCACTTGCATGGCACGAACCTCACACTGAAACTTTAGACGTATGTGGTTTCGGGTTTTTTCTGGTGCGTCGGCGTCAACGTACACGGATTTTACTGCGACTAGAGTTCTCGTTGGTAGAAACTGCATCAGTTCAACTTTTCCAAACACACCCTGACCGATGAGCACAGGTACATTACTACCAAGCCGCATTATTGGACTCAGGTCGCATGGGTTGATATAGTTCCAGTGGGGTAATTCGGCAATTAATTTATCTCTTCGATCAGTTCTTTCACAAATACTTGCTTTGGTATTGCCTCGCCCGCCTGACATAATGTGCTGAACTAACGTTGTTGGGCAGCAGCTCTGCAGACTATTCCGAAGACGTTCGATATCGTTTCGTAATTTTTGATTTGTTCTGAAATGAAACCATGCGGAATGTAATATAGGCCTAAGGTTTATGAGCAACGAAAGTCGGGCAAAGCACTGCGCCGTACGACGATCGTACGACCGTCGGCCGATGAATCTATCGCCACTCTCTATGAATATTTGACGACCCGACGCCATTTGCTGATTGTCGATGGCAGACTGAACGATCGCTTGCGCACACCTCGTCGCGTTATGTCCTACACTTCTTGGAATCGCATTGACTGGCGATGATCGGAGCAGTGTGTGCCTCAATTGAAAGCAATAGTAGGAACACAAGTCTACCACCATGGCAGTTTTATTGAATCAGGTCATCTTTTAAACCTGGCACTTAGTGTGGCGAACGACGAATTAAATTCCGCTCCCTGTGAGCGCTAGACGACGCGACGCCGGCAGTCTGAAAGGGTCGTCGTTAAAAACGATCCGTTGCGCGCGTCGTGGGGTTACCTTCTCCATAGAATCGCATCGCTCACCGTCTGGTGCAGTGAATGCCCGGCTTTAAACCGGACCCGTATCAAAGAATTTTAGTTAAATTGAGAAAGAGAAATCTATGAAGGGGGTGCAGTTAGAAAATACCCTCGCCCCTTCATCAAGTTAAACACTGTGGTTTCGTAACTGTGCTCACCCTTTAACGAGTTTAAAGTCGGGAACTCCCTGCGACGTACGGCGGTCGCGCGACCCTCGGTCGACGAATTCAACTCCGCTCCATGTGAGCGTTAGACAACGAGACGCCGTCTGCTGATTATCTGTGGCAGTCTGAGCGGATCGTCATTGGTTGCATTCCCCACAGCATCGCCTCGGCCGACGACAGTCGGGCGCAGTGAGTACCCGGCTTTAAAGGCCAACTCAGACAGCGTCGTACGACGCAGCCCGACGCCATTTGTTGTCGCGTGGGGTCTGTGTGAGTTAAACGCAGACGCGATGGTTTGCGTCGGGGGAAGTCGCGTCGTGGAATATTAAACATGTTTAATATTTCTCACGACGGCTTAAGACTGTCCCCGACGATAAATCGGGTCGGGCTGCGTCGGCCGACGCTGTCTGAGTTGGCCTTAAGAAACCATGGTTTCAATTTAAAATAAAGGTTTATGTATATTTAGAACTGGGTGGTAACATCCGTAACCTTACCTATTAGCATTATCAGCGATTTCTCGAATTCTATTATCTTTATGTGAAACCATTTTCTGAAGTTGTACGATACGTAACCTGAACGCTTCTTTTTCCACTGCCATCTGATCACCGCTAGCTTTGTCAGTTTGAGTGGTCGCCATGGCCGTAGAAACATCTGTTGGCTTAACCGACGTCAACCTTTGCCGCAAACTAAACGGAAAACACATTAAAGATATGCATCTTGTGTATACTGTATCTATGTAGTGGACCTTTCCGAGTGCAAATAAAGTTTAACAACTTAACGGTACGGTACCAATCGGAACAACATCAGAAATACGCGCAATTGCCATAAACAGTTATATAAGTTTGCACTGTGGTTTTGCTCGGACCTAACGCTTACGGGGAGAGTTTTTTTTTATGGCTTATTATGGTCCAAAATGTGCTTTAAGACCAAAATGTTTTACTTTCTGATCTGAAAACCTAGTCGTGAGTCGGATGACGTGGGGGGGGGGGATTTCCCATCCCCTCTGGCGCCACCACTGCTGCAGTTTCTATCCATGGTTCAGAATACAACCAAACATTATAGTATTCCATATCAGGTGTGTATCGCTAGGTAAAATTATTTTATTTATATCTAACATAATGATGTTTAATTCGATTCTCAATGACCAATTATCGTGATTATATAAAAACATGAATATCTTTCGCAGCCGAGTGTACTGGTGACCCATTGAGATTCGAACCTACGCCCGTTGACCCATTTCGGTTAGTCCTCGAATACATTAGAAGTATCACACGTTACATTTTTCAGCTTTAATCATTACTGATTTCATTTGTTTTAAAGTGATTTACGAACGTTTCCATCTCCTTTTCGGATTTTTCTTTCTCGGAGAGTCTTTTTTCCAACTGTATTTTCAGTGTGTCCAGTTGAGTGCATAGTTCGTTGTTGCTGATGAGTAGTCTATCCGAAGCGTTTTTCATTACATCTAGTCTCTCCCAAAGACGGGAAACCTCGGTCTTTTTATCCTAAAAAAGTCAGAGTAGTTTTTTTTTTTCACAAACCGAACTATCTATCGTAATCGACTCATTCTTATAACATACCAGTCCAAAAAAAAATCTGTATTTTTTAATAGTAAATATAATCGTTATTTTATAGGCCTAGTATAAATGTTATAAATTAAAAATGTAACGTCTAATTAAAATAACAATCCCACATGCTCACGTCATCAACCTGGTAAATCGCTTGACCGTGTTATCAAAATAATATTCACCTCTAATGAGTCGACAGCGATGTCTCGATGCATCTTAATGATCGTGAGCTGTTCCAGAAGATGACTAGGATTGGCTGGAAGTTGTGACGTTGAATTCAATGAGTTGCCAATCACGCGCTCAGTTTCCTCGTTGTGACAGTGACTGAACACGTTACCCTGGATTGATGCAACGAGTGCTGCTGGATCATTTGAGAATATTTGGAGGGTCTGCAATAATAACATTATAACGAAATTGTGTGTGATATGATATCTCCATGTAAGTATATGATAGGTAAACTACATACATGTACATCATCATCATCATCACCATCATCATCATCATCATCATCATCATCATCATCATCATCATCAGCATCATCTTTAAAAACACCACAACCACC